TTCACACCTATACACATATAAATACACATATGTATATACACATATACATCTACACATATACATATATGCATACATATCTACATATATACATATATACATATACATCTTTATATAAATGGATAAAGATATAGATATATACATTTAACGATATACATATGTAGACATATACAGATCTATATTACACAGATCTATACATTTATTTATATATCTATCTTTCAACACAGCTTTGACTTGATATATGCAAGTGATAATATCATTTTGGTTATTCAACTATATAGTCTCACAAAAAATAAATGGTTCTACATTGTCTTTGTACAAACAGAGAAACACATTAAATGCACATTTAGTAACAATTGCCACAACAAGAACTTCTACTTGAATACCAAAGTAACCTTTAAATAACAATAAAAATAGAAAAGACTAGATTAAAACAAAACTGGAATTGGTCGGTCTTTAGGCGAATACTAATCATCGACACTGTCTTCATCCTGGCTATGCAGGGTCTGTCTTAATTCTTCATGTAAGTTCCTTGCATAGTTGATTTGTTGAGCAACCTGCAGAAGGAAATATACAGTAGAGGTATACATTAGATCAATAGCATTGCTGATGAAGTTTAACTAAACAAAACTAAAACTACCGATAATAAGACATGAAACACACAATATAAGTAATGCCCCTCCTCACATATGCAAAAAGAATAATGCTTATTTCGCCAAAAGAAGTCAGAAAAACTACACTATTTTTCATTAAAATATAACAGACAGAAGAAATTGAGGAGAGTTTACTGAAATTCAATAATTCAAAGCTAACTTGCAAAATCAAGGAATAGCCTCATTAGTACACAATTAAAACTTTTTATAAATTCTCTCACCTTCCAAGCAATGTTTCTTGAATCACAGCGCACCTTTGGCCGTTTGTAGGCCAGTTCTGAAGCTCGTGCTATTCCTTCAGTCTTTTCTGCCTTGAGAGTTAGTTCAATGTAATGCTTGTGGTCCACAGAAGATCCCTCGACTTGGAGAACCACTGGCTTACACTGATACAAATCCCTGAAATTTTAAATTTCATTTCACAAAAGCATTACACAGTGTCCTCTCTCATTAATAATAAGAAATAGCTAGTAACCAAACTTTACCAGAACAAAAAACAGAAGGGCTGGGGCATTTCAATAATACCAAAAGTTGTCTCACCTATAACAGACATTAAGAACAGAGGTTGGAGGCAGCATGGGCTCACTCTGACTAAACACCCGCACTTGTTCACTGGATATCAGGACTCGTAAGTCCTCTTCACCTTCACGAAGCACTTCATATCCAAAGAATCTAGTTGGGCAAATACGAATGGTAAGTTTATATACACTTTCCTCTTCAGCTATATAAGAGTTTGGTAAGAGATAATGAAAACCTATACAGAGTACAGTTTGAAATTTTTTTTAAAAAGATTCTGTAAAATTTTAAATCTAACTCTGCTTTTATCCTTGCTCCTTTTCCTATTTCAAACAGACTAAGTCAATGTAACATATTGTGATTTCAAACTCAAGAAACACCACTCGTTGCATCCCAAAGACAATCTATTATACTTAACACAATGCAAAATTTTCTCAGGGGCCTTCATATTTACCATCCTTTCAGTGAATGACTGAAATAACTACAAAATCCACAGCCTCTCTTACATTTCTTGACGAGTGTTGTCAAAGGAGAGAAGCAGCTCCTGTCCAATAGCTTGGTTTGTAGCATATCTTGGCATCATCCCGTTCAACCCAATCACCAACCTTGGCTTGCGAGTGCGCACTGGCATCTTTTGTAAAGGACTGCAATGCAAATATTCCTTTTGATTAAAGACTTGCGTCAAATTGGGGTCCTATTACTATATCTTTCACCATCAACTACAATATTTCAACAATAGTATAGTGAGGTTTAGTCAGCATAGGTTCAAATAAGCACCAAAAACCAAAGTCCATACTTTTTGCTGGTATCACGAACAGCCAGAGATGTGCTGCTGGCAAGGTCTAAGAACCCAATGGCTGGCTTCGTCACTGTGCCGACCATGCCCTTGGCGAAGCCAGAGAAAAATCCCTGAGGAGGAAAACAGAGATAAGCGACAATAGCTCTTGCCTCCTCTAGCATTTACATTAGCAAAAATGTGACAGTGTTAGTGATATATGGTAATAATAACAACAATATTATATAATATAATAATGGTAAGACATAATATGGTCATCATTGTAATATTTTGTATCTATGCAATATGACAGCAATAATGATTATATGATGTCCCACAAAGACAATGTATATAATTGTGCTAATGATATGATGCGATATAATAATATCAAAAATGATAAAGGCAAGATGTGATAGTGAAATATGATATGTGATATGATGTGATACAATACCACTACTACTAGTATGATACTGATTATGACAACAGTAATCGTAAAGGATAATGATAATTAGTAATCACAAATGATAATGATAATTAGTAATCATAAATGGAAATGATAATAATGATTATAATTCTCAATGACGATAACAACAGAGATAATAATCACAACAAGAACAAAGAACTCACTGGAATGCCCTCTTGAGTGACACCAGTATAGGTCTGGGACACAATACTAGTGAGGCCACCGTACAAGCCAAGACCAAGCCCTCGTATTCCTGCAGCGATGTGCTCTGCCCCGCTAGCTGTCTGCTTGTTGCGGAGCCTCTGGCGGTGCTCCTCATGCTTGTCGTCCATCGTCACACGCCCGACAGCATCAGACAGTGACCCTGGAAGGAGGCTGTCCTTAGTACAAGTGATACATCTTGGTTCAGATGATAAAATCTTCTTTCATATGCCTAAAAAGATTCAGCAATTATCTTCAGTTAAAAACAACTGCATTCTACCTCTTGAAAATAAAAAAATCCTCAAAGAGCTGAGGTAAAATAATTAACAAAATATATTATACATATTCATGATTCCATAATAAATTACATAATTCCTTCTTCAAGATTTTACACATCTGCTCTAAAGCAAGTGTCTCCTAGAATACATTTCCAAACTAGAAATGGGGATGTGCTTTTTTTTTTTTTACATTTATCTTTTACTACAGAGATATGATTGGGTTATTATCAATAGATGCCATGAGGATCCAAATGCAAAAATACCATTCCTTAGGTATTTTTCCTTTTTGTACCATCTATCCTACACTTTTCAATATTGTCATCACCTCCTTACTCTAGAATACACCATTACAACCTTTTAA